GAAACTGTTACCTCCCCACAACATGTTTCCCCTCCCACATTGATTGGTTGCTTCCAGTACTTCTTTTGTTGTCTATATATATATACTTAAACTGCACATGTTTATTTGATTGTCTGGTCCTAGCCTCGTCACTACTTCGTCGGGGTTAGGCTAGGCACTTACCAGCACATGGGGTTAGTTGTGCTGATACTACACTCTGTGCTCGTTTGCACAGATACAGGTTTCGGACAGCAGTAGCAGTAGCGTGGGTGTGAGCAATCAGACTAGTGAGACACCGAGGTAGCCTTGTAGGCGTCCGTAGTCCCGACGTCTCCTCTATCTATTATTTTAGTATGTTATCTCATTGTATTCGAGACAAACAGTTTATTATTTTCTTTCAGACGATTGTATTTAGTATTCTTAGAAGTTCGTGAGTAATGTGACACCAGTTCTTGGGTAGAGATTCATGTTGGATTCCACATTTACATTTAGTCACTTTAAATTAAGTCTTTCGCATATTTATTTAATTCAATAATTTCTTATGCTATTACTAATATTTGATAAAAGAAATAATTTATAAAAGATAAAAGTAGTTAAGAGTTGGCTTGCCTAGCTCTCATTAGTAGGCGCCATCACGACTCCCGATGGTGGAAAATTCGGGTCGTGACAATTATGCTGGACCGGTATACTTTGCTGACTCCTGTATAATATACGGGAGACTGGAGCACTGGTGCTCCAAACTCCAGTATATTATATTGGACATTTATACTTGCTGGAACTCCAGAATATTATGTTGGAGTTCTAGTGTACTTATGCTGGAACTCCAACATATTATGCTGGAGTTTCAGCATAGTTATCCTGGAACTCCCGTATAATATGCTGGAGTTCAAGCATACTTATGCTGGAACTCTAGTATAATATACGGGCGTATTTTTCGGGTTTTAAACATTGTTTTCGCTCAGATTTATCTTTACATGAAAAGTGGCTAAATTTCGGTTACTTTTGAAACTGGGCTATTTTTGAATGACCAGTTGTAAATCTGGCTATTTTTAAATTTCTCTCGTCTAAATCCGCACAATTTTGGCCCGGCCCGGCCCACATAGGATTTAAACCCGCATTCATTCGTCCCGCAATTTTTTTAAATAAAAGTTCTCTCTTGTTGATCTTTTCTCCATCTTTCTCCACCTGCTTTTAGAAAGCAAACAGTTAAAGATGGTCCACTTTCTCCTAAATGAAATTTTTGGACATATTTAAGTACTAGAAAAATTTCCATATTCTTCATATTTAATTCCTAATACTCTTACAATTTTATAATTTATTTTATTTTTCGATAAAAAAAAGTAAATGCAACAACAACAACAACCCAGTATAATTCCACAAGTGAAGTCTGGGGAGGGTAATATGTACGCAGGTCTTACCCTTACCCCGAAGGGTAGAGAATAAAAAAAAACTTCAAAATCCGACTCATAATCTTTAGTTTCTCTTAAAATAGTAGTGTTAGCTTACATCCTTGTACTCTCCTCGTGGCTATCTCGTGCTAGTTAAGAATTGCTAGGTAAGAAAGTTACGCGATCATATATCTGAGAAATTCGTGTGGCTGGTAGTGTTTTAGCTTTTTAGGTCAAAAAAATTAAAATCTTGACCCGTGCCCCGCCCCGCCCCGCGTTAAATATNATCTCTTCCTCACGAATATTTTCCACAGGGGCATCAAAATTGAGGCCATTCCATGTTGACCATCGACTGTATATGCAATATGTGCCTATTAGACATGAGACGGTGATATGACACAACATGAGACTCACATATCTTGAGTGCGTGAACTTGTTAAAATCTAAAATAAATAAAGAGAAAATTTTACTTTAAACCTATTAATTTCAAACTATTTATCCTTTAATACTCAGACCCAAACTATTTATCAATCCTACCCATGCGGCCCAAACTATTTACCCGCTAATTCCAGTTGCAACCTGCAAACAAATGGAATAGTTCCCGCTAACGAGGAATCTTGAAAGAAAACCTCAAGTGGTGAAATAGAGATTCAAAAAATGGCTGAAAAATCTGCCTTCGAAAAATAGACCAGGATTTGTGCAAAAACATGAAAATATTTGTGCAAAAGCATGAAAAATCTGACAAATCTCGTATCATTCTCCGGCGAAGTCGATCTTCAGGTCTGTTTTTTTTTTTTTTTTTTTTTTTTTTTTTTTTTTTTTTTTTTTTGCAGCT